AGAGAAGACGCGGAACCAGAGCTCCAAAGAGAGGCCAGAATCGTCTGCGGGGTTGACTTCGAGCAAAAATAAAGATTATACAAATAAGTTGCTTAAAGACTGCCTTTCTTAGGTGATACAACAAGCGAACTGGTAAGAGGGCGCCTGAAGAGTGCGATCGCAAGCGCTTTTCCCGCGGCGAACTTACGCGTGTTCTTCACAAACTCTCCTCTCCTACGACTGGGAGATAATGACCGACTCCTGTTGAAGACCACATCCATGTGCATTTATCTTTAACTTGCTCCTCTGAGATAGGATACATCGGCCGAACAACGAGGCGCTTGGAAAAGACAGTACGTGAGCATATACCGGCATGGTTAAAGAAGGATGCTACTAGATCGGTCTCGAGTTCTATTCTCGCACACCTTGCAGATACGAATCACCGAGTCAGTCCTAACGAAGTCTATCAGGTCGTCTACTGGGCACGAGTCAACTTTTATAAAGGTCTACGCCAATGGGTGCTACAAACAGCCGATACAGTGGCTCTACGGTTAACGCAAGCACTTTCACTTCCGTGGCCAACCCCAACGCCAGGTAGTGATCGAGCATCGCCCCCAGCCTCTAGTGACAGTCATTCGCGCCGTGCAAGTGACGCAAATGCCCACAATTTAACCCAATTTTCCCTCCCCCCTCCCAGCACAAGGACCTGTACGCACCGTTCTCGCCATGCGGACGGCATGAAAACGACGAGTTGTAATCCAAGTACACTTAGTAACCCTGTCCAACTGTACATTTTCATTATAAACGACATCGCCTGTGTGTAAGGCAACATACCGATTGAAAACCACTTGAAGTAGTTCCACAATTATGTAAAAGCAGCTGTGGCTGCTCTCACATAAACTCTTCGACGTGATTAGATAAAGTGAACACTAGCCCTGGATTCACTAGTCGCCTGAGACGGCAATGTAGGTTTCTGTGCATGATAAACCCCTCATTTGGACGCCTTCCGCCTTTTTCCTGCAACCCGGGATCCTGCCTGGATAATTATAGTGCTCCATGTACAACCACTATATAACCACTACAAGCAAAGAACAAAATAGACAAAAACGACATAGCTGAATCATCAGTTAATAGTAAATACCATTTCCTCAGCCCCATCTACCTATTATGTAGATTTTCTTACCTTTTGGTCAACAGTCCTAATTTTTCTCGGTTTGCATTTTAAACGTGGTTAATTTGTTGCCTCTCAACCGCCAGTCCACAACCCAATAAGCAGTTTTCTGCGCGCTATGTCAAGACTTCAAAATCCCCCAGAAGTGAGTTTCTCACCCCAATTAAAAATGATGCAATCTTTGGGCTGGGACATGAAAGCGCTCTCTGCTCAACAAGACATGTCTCGCTCCATGCATAGGGACGGAACAAGACTCCATTCATCGCTACAAAGGCTCCTGTATTAGTGTTTCTGACAGTTCGTCTCATTCAAAATTAACTAAATCAGTCGACGAGGAGAAGAAACAAAGACAGCGCGTAAGAACCACCTACTTGTACGTCCGCCGAGCCAATTTAGAAAGGCGTTGCCGTCGACAAGGTGAATGGCCTTGGCTTTTTCAGAGAAATCTGAGCTCCGAGCTGTGAAGCGATGTGAAACTGTGTGGTGCCAGTACTGGTCACCATCCGCCGCGGTAGTCTCAGCAACCGTGAAACGACAGTTTACAGTGTCAAGACTTCCCGGTGGAGACACACGCATCGGGTGAGCGTTGGTTTGTGAGGAAATGATCGAGGCGCCTTTCTTGTCTGGTAGGAGAGAAGTCGAAACGATAGTTAAAATGAAACACCTACTTATATCTTGGGAGTAGACACTATTTATCAAATATTATTAGACTTCACAAGAGTTAGAATTCCGGGATAAGAATCGGAGATCAGTTTAACTTATCAATAAAAGCAGGAAGAGCAAACGGACCCGGACAGGAATACAACTTGACGTAACAGTCACAGTCGTTCCAGGGAAATCGGTCTCCGAATTCGCGCGAAAGGGTCTCTGATAGACGTGGGCTGAAGTCCTTTAAACTGTGAATGGCAATGTCCAGGTTGTGTTCAACTAGGAGAAGAAGGCACAGTCTTTAGATTTCGTGTGTAAAGTCAATTGACAGAGTTATACCGGACAAAGGGAAACGACTTACCGCCAAAAGAGGTCCCAAGATCATCAGATCCTCTCAGAGCTCCCCCGACCGAAGCCTCCGGTGGCCACTGAATAAAATCAAGGCAAGTCCAACCGACACTACTGGAGTTGGTCTTCTCTGTGAATGGTAGGTCTGTGGCACGTTTATCAGCGACAATCAAATTGGTAATCTGGGCGGCGGTACCCACGGCTAAACGAACACGGAGAGCACCAGTTCTTTGTCCAGTGAGAGGAAAAACCAGGGTTACCCATGAGTCCTCAACTACCAAAGGCCGCTGAAAACAGAAGAAAGTCATCAAGTTTAAAGCATATTTCCCCTGGAGAAAAATCTGAATATTGCATAGACAGCAGAATTTAATGGAAGCACTAAATTTCGCGAGTGCTCTTCGGCTGAGGCCTCTCGCTGCGTAACATGAATAACGTATGAGAGAATACAAACACGGAATTTGTACAGAAATATCGATGCAAAAAGCAACCTCATAGAAAATGGCCACCAAGGCTGATCAATAACGTAAGCAAGTTAAAACACTATGAGAAGGAAAAGTTGGAAAACACGTTTAAGACAGCGAAATGTGTAAATCAGGGATCCCGATGTTGCCAAGGCATATTTAGGTTCACTACGGGCTCTAGCTGTCTACAGAAGTCCGGTTTTGACCGCCATATATAAGCTACCTCCAGGTAGCGCAAGGTACTAGTTATTCATGCCCGAAAATGTACCCGGAAAGATGTCATGGGATCCACATAGTAACCCGTATCAAGCAAGTTTCAGTAATAAATGAACGTGGAATACTGTTTTCCTGTTTTAATAGCCATCTAGGCAAGTACTCTTTAGATCTGGCTGCCAAATGCCGTTGCGTTTGCCCAATGTACTGGCATCAGTAAGTGCATGTAAATTCGTAGAAAATTTGAAGAGGCGTGCACCGGCAAAACATCCTTTGCACGCTGAATTGATAGAGGCTTTGTAGGATTACAAAATAGGAGTTCGGTCGCAAAATATGTCCTTTCGATGGTACTACGTAGGCGTCGCTTGATAGTATTCAAAAATGTTGTCACCTCAAAAGGGCAAAAATATGAAAACGGACTTTTTCGGAACTGACTTTTCCGTCATTTTTAGCCACAAGAGTTTGCTGTACTTGTGGATAAACCGTGATGGATATCCCCGCTTAGGAAAAGCACCTTTGAGGCAGACTATTTCTGCATCCAATGTCTCCACAGAGCAGACGTTTCTTGTCCTTTGGACGAGAGTGCATGACAAGTTACGTTTCCATTGTATGGGAACAAAATTCAGGTAATGCAAGTCCTACCCCTTTCATGTACTCTTATGGAAAACTGTTCGTGTTATGGAGCAATCTTTTTGTCTGAACACATGAATGTCTAGGAAGGAAAGCTGTAGCTGGAGAGCACTCGCGAAAGTTAATGGTTCCATTAAATTCGACTGTCTATGCAAATAAGCCATCAAGATTTAAACCCCGAAGAAAGAACTTGCATCCGAAAGACGAAAAGTATCGTGGTAATGATTGCTGGACTATAATGTTTTGTCTATATTAGATCGTAGAGTATTTCGCAAAAAAGGTAAGTAAAGTGATAGTGAGGGCAAGACAGTCATAAAAGGGGCCATCTGAAATGGAAATTAAGGGGGGCAAATACTTTAGTATC